TGCCCCAATGCGAAAGTGTATGTAGGCCCGGTTACAAACATGAGTATAGAACACCAGAGAAAAGAAACAATCATATTTGTTGTTGCTATGGGGCTATAAGGCTATTGAGCTATGGGGCTGTATCGCAACATGGAAACATGGCTAATTATAGGGATATAAGGCTATTGGGCCATCGGGCTATAGGGATATTTGGCTATAGGGCTATAAGGTATATAAAGCTATAGGGCTGTAGGGCCATAGGGCTAACGGGCTGTAGGTCTATGGGGGTATAGGGCCATAGGGCTATATGGCTAAATGGCAATAGCGTTATTTGCATATGGGGCTATAGGACTCTAGCGCTATATGGCTAAAATGTTATAGGGCTATCGAGCTATAGGGCTATGGGGTTGTAGGGCTAGGGCTATAGGGCTATAGGGCTGTAGGACTATGGGGCTATGGGGCTATAGGGCTATATGGTATAGGGCTACAGGGCTATACGGCTATAGGGCTATGGAGTTATAGGGCTAATGGGCTGTAGGACTGTAGGGCTATAGGGCTGTAGAGGTATAGGGCTATGGGGTTCTAGGGATATAGGGCTATGTGGCAACAGGGCTGGCGGGCTATAGGGCTATAGGGCTACATAACTATAGGGCTATGGGGCTATGGGGCTATAGGGCTACAGGGCTATAGGACTATAGGACTATACGGGCAAAGGGCTATAGGGCTACAGGGCTATAAGTCTATATGGGCTATTGTGCTATATGGCTATAGGGATATCGTGCTATATGGCTATAGGGCTATAAGGTTATAGGGCTGTAAGGCTTGAGGGCTTTTGGACTATAGGGCGATAGGGCTATAGGGCCAGAGGGCTACAGGGCTGATTGGCTATTTGGGTTATTGGGTTTATGGGCAAATTGGCCTAATGGGACCACTTGGGCTAATTGGATTGATGGGGTTATATGGCTATGGGGCTATAGGGCACCCCCGGGCATCTGGGCCCGGCCACCGAAATCGGCGGCCCGGTTCACCTGCCCATGGGAATCCGCTAGGACCCCTGCGGAGGCAAGCTCTGATTGCGGAATATGTATACACGTACGAACGTAAAAAAGTGTGTGTATGTATGTATATATGTACACGTAGAGATACAGTGCAAGCCAAGACCGGGACGCTATGCTAGGCCACGACCGGGACAAATTCTGGAAAGATTGAGATGTCGTCTCAGGCGAATGTGGCTGGGCCACCAGGGGGCAGGACATCATCGAGGTCAGAGTTGTGAGGATGTCTCTGGCGAACATGGTTAAACCACCTCAGCTCAGAGCGTTTTGGAACCCACAGTTGCGAGGATGTCTCATGAAGGAGTGGCCCGACCACCTGCTGAGGGCTTCTCGGAACCCAGAGTTGCGAGGGTTTCAAGCGAGAGAGGCCGAACCACCATGGAGCAGGGCATACCCGAGATCAGAGTTGCAAGGATGTCTCAGGCGACAGTGGACGGACCACCTAAACTCAGGGCATCTCGGAACCGAGACTTGCGAGGATGTCTCAGGCGAAAGTGGCCGGACCTCCATGGGGCAGGACATCATCGAGGTCAGTGTTGTGAGGATGTCTCTGGCGAAAACAGTTAAACCAGCTCAGCCCAAGGCGTCTCAAAACCCAAAGTTGCGAGGATGTTTCAAGCGAAAGTGGCCAGGCCACCATGGGGCAGGGCGTCTTCAAGGTCAGAGTTGCGACGATGTCTGAGGCGACAGTGGCCTGACCACCTGCTCAGGGCATCTCGGAATCCAGAGTTGCGAGGATCTCAGGCTAAACAGGCCGAGCCACCATGGGGGAGAGCATATCCGAGATCAGAGTTGAAAGAATGTCTCTGGCGACAGTGGCCTGACCACCTGAGCCCAAAGCATATCGGAATCGAGACTTGCGAGGATGTCTCAGGCGACAGTGGCCGGACCACCATGGGGCAGGAGATCTCTGAGGTCAGAGTTGCGAGGATGTCTCTGGCGGAAATGGTTTGACCACTTCAGCTCAGGGCGTCTCGGAACCCAGAGTTGCGAGGACGTCTCCGGCGAAAGTGGCCGAAACACCATGGGGCAGGGCATCTCCGAGGTCAGAATTGCGACGATGTCTCAGGCGACATTGGCCAGATCACCTCATGTCAAAGCATATCGGACTCCAGAGCGCCGACGATGTCTCACGCGGAGCCAGCCGAAACACTTCGAGACCCGCATTTGCGAACCCAGAGTGGTGAGGATGTCCGAGGCGAGGGTGCCCAGATCATCTCAAGTCGCGACATCTCTGAACCCAGACTTCCGAGGATGTCTCACGCGAAACGGGCCTCCTCCTCCTCATCCTCCTCCTCCTCCTGCTCCTCGCCCTCGCCTTCTCCCTGGATGCTGTTCGCCGGCATGCAGCCCGAGATGCGGGTTGCGAACGCCTGCTGCTCCCCGTCCTCCTCCATGTCCTCCTCCCACTCCTCCTCCTCCCCCGCCGCCCTCCCCTTGCGTCAAATTCCACCCCCGGCTCCTCGCTCTCCTCCTCCTCCTCCTCCTCCTCCTCCTCCTCCTCCTCCTCCTCCTCCTCCTTCTCCTCATCATCATGATCATCATCATCATCATCATCCTTCGCAGGCCGAGCCGAGGCGAGCCGAGGCGGCCGGCGGGCCGGCCGAGCGGGACGACGACGACGACGACGACGACGACGACGACGACGACGAGCGGGACGACGACGACGACGACGACGACGACGACGACGGCGGCGGCGGCGGCCGCCGGCAGCGGAGAGAGAACAGCAGGACGAAATCGAATGGTTCGCACACTATCCAAAAAATGCCGGACTGCCGGAAATCTCCGGAAGTCCCCACAAGTCCCTGGGCACCTTCGAACGCCTCTGAAGCCCAGCGGGGGCCCAAAACATTCAGAAACCTGACATCCTCGAAGACGACGACGACGACGACGACGACGACGACGACGACGACGACGAAGACGACGACGACGACGACGACGACGACGACGACGACGACGACGACGAGGACGACGAGGACGACGACGACGACGACGACGACGACGACGACGACGACGACGACGACGACGACGTCGCGACGGCGGCGGCGGTGGCGGCGGCGGTGGCGGCGGCGGCGACGACGACGTTGTTTTCGCGGCGGGAGTGCTGCTCCACTGCCCGGACTACTACGAGTGGTGTTTAAAGTGGTACTACTCGTGCTGATACCATTGCTATACTCAAGGACGGGATCGAAACCGACAGTATTTCTCTCGAGGAGAGCGCCCCTAAAGCTCCCAAGAGCGCTCCAAGAGGACCCCAAGAGGCGCCCAAGAAGCCTCCAAGAGGCTCCCAAGAGACCTCCAAGAGGCCCCCAAGAGGCGTCAGGAGGATCCCCGAAGCACCCAAGATGCCCCCCAGACGCTCCAGACATCCGCGGAGGCTATTATGTCTGTCCGTTTTCCTCCTCTTCCTCCTCCTCTTCCTCCTCCTCCTCCTTCACCCACATCTTCGTCTGGATCTTCCCCGTGCCCGGCCGGGTGCCTGGGTGCCCGGGTGCCAGGGTGTAGGTCTGGGTGTCGGGGTGTCCGGGTGCCCGGGTGCCCGGACGCCCGGGTGTTGGGGCGTCCGGGTGCCCGGGTGCCCGGGTGCCCGGGTGCCGCCCGGGCGTCCGGGCGTCCGGGTGCCCGGGTGTCCGGGTTCCCGGGTGCCCGGGTGCCCGGGTGCCCGGGTGTCCGGGCGTCCGGGTGTCCGGGCGTCCGGGCGTCCGGGCGTCCGGGGCCCGGGCGTCCGGGCGTCCGGGCGTCCGGGCGTCTGGGTGCCCCGGTGTCCGGGTGTCCGGGTGTCCGGGTGACCGGGTGTCCGGGTGTCCGGGTGTCCGGGTGTCCGGGCGTCCGGGCGTCCGGGCGTCCGGGCGTCCGGGTGCCCGGGTGTCCGTGTGTCCGGGTGTCCGGGTGTGTCCGGGCGTCCGGGCGTCCGGGTGTCCGGGTGCCCGGGTGTCCGGGTGTCTGGGTGTCCGGGTGCCCGGGTGTCCGGGCGTCCGGGTGCCCGGGTGCCCGGGTGTCCGGGTGTCCGGGTGTCCGGGGGTCCGGGTGTCCGGGTGTCCGGGTGTCCGGGCGTCCGGGCGTCCGGGCGTCCGGGCGTCCGGGTGCCCGGGTGTCCGTGTGTCCGGGTGTCCGGGTGTGTCCGGGCGTCCGGGCGTCCGGGTGTCCGGGTGCCCGGGTGTCCGGGTGTCTGGGTGTCCGGGTGCCCGGGTGTCCGGGCGTCCGGGTGCCCGGGTGCCCGGGTGTCCGGGTGTCCGGGTGTCCGGGTGTCTGGGTGTCCGGGTGCCTGGGTGTCCGGGTGTCCGGGTGCCCGGGTGCCCGGGTGTCCGGGTGTCCGGGTGCCCGGGTGTCCGGGTGTCCGGGTGTCCGGGCGTCCGGGCGTCCGGGTGTCCGGGTGTCCGGGTGTCCGGGTGTCCGGGTGTCCGGGTGTCCGGGTGCCCGGGTGCCCGGGTGTCCGGGTGTCCGGGCCGGCGCCCGGGTGTCCGGGTGCCCGGGCGGACGCCCGGGCGGAGGAATAGTCAGATTGTGAGTGGGTGGTGGGATTCGCCAGGCGCACTCGCGCCATACCGGATATCCCACCCCTCCCTGCCGTCCCCTCCTGCGGCGCGGAATATTCCGTGTCCGCCGGCGGGGGCCACAGCTGACCTGGAATCCCCAGAGCGACACCACCGTCATTTGCGCAGGTTTAGAAGGGGAGCCGTGTACATAGGAGGAGGAGGAGGAGGAGGAAAAGGAGGAGCAAAAGGATAGGCAGGAGGAAGAGGACGGGGATGAGGAGGGAGGAGGACGAGACAGAGCAGCAGCAGCAGGAGCAGGAGGAGCAGGAGGAGGGAGGAGGAGGAGGAGGAGGAGAGATGGATGGGGGGGAAGGGCAGAGGAGAGCGCCAAGGACGAGAAGAGGGCGGGGAGTCGGGGAGGGAGTCGGGGGCGGGCGGGTGTGGAGGAGTCTGCACGGGCGGCCCCCCGCGCCCGCGAGCTGGCGCAGCAGGTGCCCGTGCTCTATGGCCTCCACGGCGGTCCCACGACGACGACGAACACGACGAAACACTCGCGCTCATGCTAAACGACGACGACGACGACGACGACGACGACGACGACGACGACGACGACGACGACGACGACGACGGCAAAAACACGGCGAAAAGACGACGAAAAGACGACGACGACGACGACGACGACGACGACGACAACGAAAAGACGACGACGACGACGACAACAAGATCCAAGGCGGCCATGACGGACGCATCCCGCGCAATCCTCTTTCCCGCCCCCACTCCCAGGTCTCAAGGCGGATCAGAGGGACGCGTTGCTACCCCCCCTCCCCACCCCTCCCCTACCCCCCGACCCCACCCCACCAGCAACCCAGCAAGCCATAGGAAACAAAAGAAGCCCCTTACAGTGCTCCGACACTGCACGAGTCTGCCAAGCGATGCGGCAAAAACGCGCCTCCTGCCCACAACTACAACACGACCCCGAATCCAGCTGCCTACAGCTGTGGTAAGTTTTCACGATAAAGGCTACAGATACAAAAGGTCCTGCTACAGCTGCCAACAACTGAAAAACATCCTACTACAGTTGCCCAAGGCTGTAATGCGATCCTACGGCAGCTGCCCGAAACGATGATGAGATCGCATTGGAGTTGCTACAGATGTATGAAGAATCCTGAAGAGCCCGTTTGAAACCAGAGAAATCCGGATGAGCACATTAAAATCATCAGAAATTCGTAGGAACCAAAAGGAATCTTCATAAATCCGTGGGGATCATGAGGAATCCCTCGGAAACATCGAGAATCGGGGGGGGGGAAAAAAAATGGGAACCCTTCCAAAATTCTAAACAATCCCGCGGGAACCACCAGAATACTTACGGATTATCAGGAGTCCCGGGACATCCTGAGGAATCCTTGGGAATCCTGATATATGCTGAAGAATCATATGGCCTTCTGCAGTATCATGGGGAATTTGAACGAATCCAGACGAACCGTGGAAATTACCTAGGACACATGAGAAAACACTACCAAGAATTAAGAACCCAGAAGAATCCGGAAGAATTTCATTGAGTGTTCAAGAATCCTTCTGGATCCTCTGGAGCGCAAGGGAGTCCGTGAGAATCCCGAGGGACCGAGGGGAATTAGCAATCCTCTGGAACCCTGAAGAACACTTAATCATTATGAAGAATCCGTTTAGATCCGAATGTATCCTGAGAAAGCATCTGGACTCCGAACGGTTTTGAAGAATCCCAAAAGGAGTCGGGAGGAATCTTCAGAATCTGCTATGAAATCTTCAGGAATCCGTAAGAATCCGGAGGATTCCTAAGGAATGGACTCCGAACGGTTTTGAAGAATCCCAAAAGACAACTCCTCAAGAATCCTCACTGATCCTCGGGAAAACCCTAATCAATTGAAATCATAAGAAGGCCGTAGGAAGCACCATGAATCTGGAGAACTCCCGTAGAATCCAAAACAATCCTGTTGATAGTATGAGGATCCTTCAAAAAAATCTTCAGGAATCCGTAAGAATCCGGAGGATTCCTAAGGAATACAGAGGAACCCTGCAGAATTCTGAGGATCCTGAGGGTGTCGTGCGGTACCCTGTACAAATCCGACCGCATCCTGCGTAGTCCGATGGAATCCTGAGGACCACTAGGAGTCTGGAGAAAGCCTTGGAAACCGACAACTCCTCAAGAATCCTCACTGATCCTCGGGAAAACCCTAATCAATTGAAATCATAAGAAGGCCGTAGGAAGCACCATGAATCTGGAGAACTCCCGTAGAATCCAAAACAATCCTGTTGATAGTATGAGGATCCTTCAAAAATCTTGCTAGATCGTGCAGAAACCGAAGGAGTCCTGAGAAGGCATTAGGAGCCCTCAACAACCCTTAGGAATCCGAGGAATCTTTCGACATTCAAATCCTTACGAATGTGTATGCATCCTGATTAATCCATCGGAAGCTGGAGAATCCTGGGGAAAAACTGGCGAATCCTTCGGAATTATACGGGATGCTGATTTGAAAATCCGATGTGGATATATATATATATATATATATATATATATATATATATCATGACAAACCTCAGGAACCCGACGGAATAGTCTGGAATTCCTTTGGCACCCTTACAAATCCTGACGAATCTTTGAAAATCATGAGGCACCCAGGCGCCCGCAGCCTTGCAACCACCCTCATTAGGGGTTGTTGGGTTGCTAGTTGCTCGGGGGGGGCGGTGTTTCTCAAGCCCACCTTCATCATCCATCATCCACAAAATTACGAAGACTCGGTCTCCAATGCTCCCGTGTAATTCAGCGCGTACTCCCCAAACCCTCGATACCCGCCCTTTTCGTCTTCGATCGTGCCCCCATTGGGGGTATATCTTCCTTGCCTTCTACATGTAGTTAGCGCGGACTTCCCAAAATGGGAGTAGGGGGAAGAAAAAGGTGAGAGCAAGGAGAGGAGGAAGAAGAACTGGGAAAGAAGGAGGGCTGAGGATTGAAGGCAAAGAAGATTTAGCAGGAGGGGAAGGAGAGAAGAACCATCATTTTGGCAAGCGGCCCCGACGGGCGGGTTGGGCGGACAGAACTTAACTGGCGGGTCGGGCGGGTGTACCCTAACGGGGGGGTCAGGCGGGCGGGGCATTCAGCGGCCGGAAGGACTTCCAAGGACAGGCAGGTCAGGCGGGCGGACCATAACAGGCGGGTCGGACAGGCGGACCGTAGCGAGCGCATCGATCGGGACACTGAAACGGGCAGGCTTCAAGCAGGCGACTGGGCGATCCGATCGCGCGGGCGGACTCTAACGAGCTGGTCGGGCGGGCGGGCCCTCACGGGCGGGTCGGGCGGGCGGGGCATTGAAACAAACTTTCTGCAAATTGCAAAGAAGCCTCCAGCGAGAGCACGAGTCCTCAGTATTAGTAAACTGTGAAATTTCGTGCGAGAGCACGATTCCTAAACGCCGAGACCGCGGAGCCTGACAAAATTGGGAGAGTCCTAAGCGAGATCGAGATTCCCGAATAAATTGTAAGGAGGTCCCGCGCGAGAGCGCGAGTCCTGAATAAAGCGCAAGGAAGTCTCAAGCGGGAGCCGTTGAATTCTCTTTTCGATCGAACAAGTATTGTTGTACCCCCCACTTGTTGCCCAGCGCGTTTATCAGTGAAAGTGCTACTCCTGGGGCTGGTATCCTGTTACTGACAAGACGAAAGCCTTGAACCTCAGAATGCGCTGATGGCCCCCGACTTACAACAACAACAACAACAACAACAACAACAACAACAACAACAACAACAACCACAACCACAACCACAACCACAACAACAACAACAACAACAAGAACGACATCAACAACAACAACAACAACAACAACAACAACAACAACAACAACAACAACAACAACAACAACAACAACAACAACAACAACGGCTCCCGCCTGACACCTCCTCACAATTCATTCCATATCGCGCTCTCGAGTGGGATTTCCTCGCAATTTCAATGTAACGCCGCACCCACGACACTCAGGAATCACGCTCTCGCTCTGGACTTCCTGACGGTTTTCTTGGGAATCGCCCTGTCGTTGGAATCGTCCTCACAATTCACGCAAGGCCTACGCCTCAGCGACCCGTCCGCTCGACCCGGCCGTCTGGGCCCGCCCGCCCGACCCGCCCGTTAGGGCCCGCCTGCCCGTCCCTCCCGTCAATTTCAGCCGCGTTGTACTCCTGTTCCTAACCGCCCCTCCAGCTAATCTCTCTCGTGCTCCATCCTTCCCCCTCCTCCTTGTCCCTCCCTCCTCCGTGCCTTCCCGTGTCGTGGGCTGCGCCAACTACGCGCGGCAGGCAGGGAAGATACACCCCAAAGGATGCACGCTCGGAGACAAAGAAAACGGGCATCGAGGGTTTGGGTACGAGCAGGTAAGAGCGACAGTCTTAAACTGATGGAACTCTCATTTCGTTAGAATATAGAAACATACTATAAATATATATATATATATATTGTGGATCCCGCCCCTCTGGTGCACCTTGCGTGCTTCAATTAATGTGCTCCTCCTGGGGCTCGCACCCTGCTTGTTATCAGAAGAAGTCTTGGTCCTCAGACTGCTCCCCTGGCCCAGGGTTTTCAACAACAGCAACAACAACAACGGCTCCCGCCGGATACTTCTTCACAATGCATATCAAGTTTGCGCTCTCGCGCGGGACTTCCTCAGAATGTATGAAGGAATCGCGCTCCCGCGTGGTATTTCCTCACAATGTATCGCGGCGCAGTGCCCCCAAAAACTCAGGAATCACGCTCTCGCTCTGGATCTCTTCACGTTTTACTTGGGCATCGCGCTGTCGCTCGAAACTTCCTTTTGATTCATGTTGTATTGACGCCTCAGCGACCCGCCCGCTCGACCCGGCCGTCTGTGCCCGCCAGCCCGACCCGCCCGTTAGGGTCCGCCCGCCCAACCCGCCCGTCTGCTTCTGCCGCTTGTGCTCCCCTCCTAACCCTCCTCCTGCAAATCTCTCTCGTGCTCCATCTTTCTCCCTCCCCCTTGTCTCGTCCATCCTCCCTACCTTTCCCTACTCTAAGGGCTGCGACAATTACACGCGGCAGGTAGGGAAGACATGCCCCCGAGGGGGTACGATCGAAGACGAAGAGGGCGGGTATCGAGGATCTGGGATATACGTGTCTAATGGCGCGTGAGCAGGCAAGAGCGAACACTCGTAAAATGATTGTTGCCGTTATTGTAAGCCCAGGGGCCAGGGGCAGTTTGAGCAGGAAGACTTCCCTGATAAATCACCTGGGGAAGAACCCAAACCCTTCTTTATATGGGGCCACGAAACGTGTGAGGGGTGTGCCGAAATGGGCCCGAGTAACCATGCAGACGCAGCCTCTGCGGCACTGGGTGGAGCTCCCTATGGGGCCACGAAACGTATGAGGGGGGTGCCAGAATGGACCCGAGTAGCCATGCAGACGCTACCAATGTGGCTTTCGGAGGAGCCCCCCGTGGGGCCACGAAACGTGTGAGGGGTGTGCCAAAAAGGACCCGAGTAACCATGCGGACACAGCCAGTGGGGCCTTGGGTGGAGCTCCCTGTGGGACCACGTGTGAGGGGTGTGCAGACATGGACCCGAGTACCCATGCGGACGCAGCCACTGGGGCATTCAGTGGAGCCTCCTATGCGGCCACGAAACGTATTAGGGGTGTGCCAGAATGGACCCGAGCACCCATGCAGACGCTACCACTGGGGCCCTGGGTGGAGCTCCCGAATTATGGGACCACGAAACGTGTGAGGGGTGTGCCAGAATGGACCCGAGTAACAATGCGGACGCAGCCACTGGGACATCGGATGGAGCTCCCTGTGAGGCCACGAAACGTGTGAGGGGTGTGCCAGAATGGACCCGAGAAGCCATGCAGACGCTACCACTGGGGCCCTGGGTGGATCTTCCTAATTATGGGGCCACGAAGCGTGTGAGGGCTATGTCAGAATGGACCCGAGTACCCATGCGGACGCAGCCACTGGGGCCGCCGGTGGAGCTCCCTATGGGGCCACAAGAGTGTCGATGAGGATAATCATAACACATAATATCAACGATAATCATACTAATATGAGCAGTAATAAGAATAATGTCAATAATCACAACTGATAGTAAGAATAATGATAATGGTAGTAATCATAACCATAAGAAGAATAAAAATAAGGGTAATGATGATACGAACGATAAGAATAACAATAATAATAATAATGATAATATTGATGGTAATGCTGATAATGATGATGATACGAATGATAATATGTCAAGTTACGATGAACACGAATTATGACAACAATGTTAACAACAATGCTACTGATACGTTTACGTATAAGCTTAACAATACTGGAAATAACCACAACACGAATAATAACAACAGAAATAAAGGTGATAACGGTAATGATAACAGTATTGCTTGCAATACAACCATTATCATAATAGAGGTCATGATACTCATGATGCTAATACTGCTACTGCGAATGATGATACTGAAAATGCTAACAACAAATACCAGTGGCAATAAAACAAAAAAACTAATACTAATGCAATTAATGATGGCGAAAATGATGATGGCGTTGGTGATGGTGATGGTGATGATGATGATGATGACGGTGACGATGATGACGATGATGATGATGATGATGATGATGATCAGAAGGATGTTGATGATGAATACGGTGATAAGAATGATGATGCTGATGATGATGATGACCACGCTGATGATGATCATGACGAGAATGATGATTATGATGACGGCCACGATGACGATGACGATGATGATGATGCTGATGATGATGTTGATGATGGTGATGATGATGATGATGGTGATGGTGATGATGACAGTAGTGATGGTGGTGGTGATGGTGATGGTGATGCTGCTGATGATGACAATGCTGATGATAATGATGATGATGGTCATGATGATAATGATGATGGTGATGATGATAATAGGAAGAAGGGAAAGAAGGTGGAGGAGCGAGAGGAGGGGGAGTGGATGGAGGAGTGAGGAGGAAAAGAAGGGAGGAGGAAGAGGAGGGGAGGAGGAGAGGAGAGGAGAGGAGAGGAGAGGAGAGGAGAGGAGAGGAGAGGAGAGGAGGAGAGGAGAGGAGAGAGGAGGAGGAGAGGAGAGAGAGAGGAGAGGAGAGGAGAGGAGAGGAGAGAGAGGAGAGGAGAGGAGAGGAGAGGAGAGGAGAGGAGAGGAGAGGAGAGGAGAGGAGGGAAGGGGAGGGGAGGGGAGGGAAGCGGAGGGAAGAAGAGAGGAGAGGAGAGGAAGGAGACGCGTGGCGCTGCGACTTCAAAACGGAGACGCAACACACAGAACGGTTGGGAAAAACAGGGTGCGAGCTCTGGGGATGCACCTCAGCTGAAAAACAAAGAGCCACAGAAGAAGACAAACAGCTTCCACAATCACGGGTCCTACGTGGCGAAGCGCAAAGATCAGGACAGCGGCGACAAAGGAGGCCAACATTACTGAGCTCAAAGACTTCCGTCCGTTGACACACCAGATCCGGTCAACTCGGAGCCCGCGCCGCGCTCCTCGGGGACTCGATCGCTGCGCTGCAGGAGCTCCGGGCGCCTGACAAAGCCCTCTCCGACAAACGTAGACTGTCGGAGGTCCGCGCGGATTTCCTCGATCGGCGCTGGGCCCCCCTTCCTGGCGCGCCAGGGGCGGCACCAGAGGCGCTGCCAGGGGGGTCCAGCGCAGATCCCAAGATCCGCGCGGAGCTTCGAAAGTTTATCTTTGTGTATTTTCTCCCAGAAACTAGCCGCACCACAGGGAATGACCGAGCTCGACACTCCGTTCAACGGGGCACTGACGACAGCCTGCCATGCCACTTCGCACGGGCGACCCTCTTCAGCACCAGCGCGAGCTCAGGGCTGCTGCCTCCTTGCTGCGCGTCGGCGAACGCCAGGCTTCGATTGCCCGCCAGTCGCAGGCGCGGTGCCTCTAGGTACAATTTCCTGCCAGCAGGGCAAAGGGAGGACTCAAACGCTCACCAGGTCCAAACCTTCCTCCCTTCCCTGGGATCCAACGTTGCCCAAAAGATGCAACATCGCAAAAAATCACGACCGGACCCCCAGACCCCACCTTTCTACATCAGTTTTCGAGCTGGATCCATCTGTGAGGGTCCCAAGGCCCGAAAGTGAGCGAAAACGCCCGGCTCGAAAGATGTAGTCGCCAAGATCTCCCCGAACCCCGACGTCGACCCCCAGAGGTCTGGACCCATTTCCCGGGACCGGTTTTTCATCCAGAGTCGTTTTTCGACGACTCCGAGACCCGGTGAGGGCTCCTGGAGGCCGAAGATGGCGAACAACCTCCCGCCGTGACTTTTTCACGGCTCGAGGGGGTCTGGGCCTGGGGAGGGGAAACGTTCGGGCGGGGGCCAGCTCGGGGGGGGCAGCATCGCCCTGGAAGCGGCCGTGCCTCGCCGACAGAGGTCGGCGGTGGGGCCCGCGGATCGCGCATCCGCACGCTCTCCCGGGCGACGTGGGGCCGGCGGGCCCCCCCGCGGCGAGGAGGGGGCGACGGGGGGCCGATGCGCCTCGGGGTGCGAGCGCTGCCCTGCGCACAATGACCTCGGAGGTCCGCGCGGACGTCTCGGAGCGGCGCCCGAGGCGCCACCCGGGGGGGGGGGTCCAGCGGCGATGCGAGAAGTCCGCGCGGAGCTCCGAGTCTGCTGTTTACGCCATTCCCAGAGAGCCAGCGGATCGAAAAAATCAAGACGGAGGTGTTTCGCAATTTTCGGCCTCCAGGGGCCCTCGCTGGGCCCCGGGACTGTCAAAAAGCGAATCACGATGAAAAACGGGTCCTGGGGCCTGGGCCGAGACTTCTGGGGGCCCCGTATTGAAAAAATCACGGCATCGGATCTCTGGGTCGTTCGAGCCCCGAGTGAGGTTGCCGCTGGCCCACTCCGAGAGCTCTGGACCCCACCTCTCTGCGGCACTAGGTGGCCACATGTGAGTCCCCCCCGCCCGCCTCCCCCCACGATTTCCAAGAAGGAGGAGTGGGGGTTCCCTCCGCTCGGGCTCTCCCGAACGAAGTGAACCCCCGCCCCCCTTCAAAATCGTGGGGGGGTGGGGGGGGTAGGGTTCACACGTGGCCAGCGGGGCACCTCTCGAGCCGCGTCGCTCCGCGAGGGCCACCGAAGGCACCGAGCCGCCTGCCGCCAGGCGCGGCGGCGCCGGGAGACCTCGGCGCAGGCCCTGCTGGAGACGCGAGGCCTCGGGAGAGCACCGCGAGGAGGAGGAGGAGGAGGAGGAGGAGGAGGAGGAAGAGGAGCAGAGCAGAGCAGAATCTCATGGAGTCCCTGTCTGAACGCAGGCAAAACTACCTCGTTAATTCAGACTGTACTCTGAGAAGGTTCCTTCGAAACCAAACCATTCACGATGCGAGCCGAAACAAGGCTCACAGCCCGAACTGCACTGGCCTGGCGAGCACAACCATGGGCACACAACCCTCAGAGGGGACCCGCACGCCTAGGCACGACGACCTCTGCCTTTCCCCCGCCCGCCCAAGCTCACCCCCCACCCAAGAGGAGGAGGAGGAGGAGGAGGAGGAGGAGGAGGAGGAGGAGGAGGAGGAGGGCGCCGCCGCCCGACGCGCGCCTTCTCGCCGTCCAGGGGCGCGGGGCTGGGCGAGACGTCCGCGCCAGGCGCCTCCTCCGCGGCCGCCTGCCAAGAGCGAGGGGCGCCCAGAGCCCCTCGAGTCAGGAAACAAAGTCACGACGCGGGAGGTGTTTCGCTGCGCTCGGCCTCCAGGATAGGGCGACGAAATCTATACATATCCACTGCTCCCTGGCCAGGCCCATCCTCAACCCCGCAGCGGTGTATACGCCACGCCCTCCTGGCCTGGCCAGGAGGGCGCATACACAGCTCCTGGGTTCAAGATGGGCATGGTCAGGGAGCAGTGGATATGTATAGATTTCGTCGCCCGACAGGAGGCCCTTTGTCGACTACGCGCCAGAAAGACCCTGGGTAAGAGTGAACTTTGGTGCGCGGCTCAGTGGGGGCCGCGGGGGAACCAACCACAAGCGCGCCAGACGCCAATCACCGCATCGCGTTCGGCGATCGGGTGACCCCATTGGGCCCGCACCAAAGGTCACTCTGGCGAAAGGTCACTCTTACGTGTTGTCGACTTTACCGGGCCTCGAGATCGTCAACAAAACGACTCAGGATGAGACTGGTCCAGTCTCGGGGAATGGTTCCAGACCTCGAAAAAATCATGGCGTCGGGGGTCTGGGGGAGGGGGGGGGCGGCACTCGCGACCAAGGCCTTGAGGCAGCGGGTGATCCTCGGTTCGGCGCGCCAAGGGGGAGGTCGACGTTCTCTGGCGTGGTCGTCGGTTCCCCGAGGTGTTCCGGCCTCGCGGTGCTTTCCAGCGGCTGCGCCGCCACGCCGAAGGCGCTCCCGCGTCGCCCGGCTCGTCCCGACCGGCCGCCAGAGACCCGAGCTATGGCCCGAAAACCAAACTCGGCGGCGTCGCCGAGGAGGGAAGTGCGAGGGGGCAAGCCTGCTCGAAGGCGGCGGGGCTTCTCAAAGCTCTCTGGTCTTCTGGGAAGCCCTGAACTGGGACGCACAGAGACATACCAGCTCCCCAATCAGAGCTTGCCTCTGGAGGGGTCCTAGCGGATTCATATGGTCAGATGAGGTTCGTCGCCGATTTCGGTGGCCGGCCCGGGTGCCCGGGTGCACGGGTGTGCAGGTGCCCGGGTGCCCAGGTGCCCGTTCCCCTATGCCCGGTAGCCCTATAGCCCTGATAGCCCTATAGCCCTAGAGCCCTATATCGCCATATAGCCCTATAGCCCTACAGCCCTATATCCCTAATAGCCCTTTAGCCCAGTAGCCCGATAGCCCTATAGCCCTATAACCACGTAGCCCTATAGCCCTATAGCCCTATAGCTCTACAGCCCTATAGCCCTTTGGTCCTATAGCCCTTTGGCCCTATAGCCCTATAGCCTCATAGCCTTGTAGCCCCATAGCCTTCTAGCCCTATAGCCCTATATCCCTTTAGCCCCATAGCCCTATAGCCCTAAAAAAGATTATGATTAGGGTTTTTCTCCGGTCTCATATGATGTGTCCCCCTGGGAGGCGCGGGTCCGACCCGAACATATAGTATACCCATCTTGTAGTAGATCGTTTCCCGAGCGGTGTGGCCAGGAAGCGCCCGCCACGACGCATACACTACAAGATTTCCCGGTGCGCGCGTCGCCCCTGGGGGGGCGTCGCACACATAGTATAAGCATGCTGGGGTGACGCCGAGCAAAGGCTTCGGCGAAAGCTCAGGAAACTTCCCAGAGGCCGAAGGCCTTCTGAGCCTTCTGTAACGGCCCGCCACATCTGCCTTCCCCCCTGGGCGCGCCGCCAGTCTGTGCTGACACGGGGGAGCCAGGAAGACCAGTGGAAGTTCGGACGAACGAGCGCCGAGGATCGAGGGCTCTGCTCGTGCTTGTCCTCCCGAGAAGCTCCTCGCCGCGACGGCCGAATCCGCCTCGAAGTTCTGCCGGACGCGTCCAGAAGTCGATGTTTGACCCCCTGTGCCGCCAACAACCCCAACGCCTTGAAGATAAGAATACGTATGCTTTCCGCTCTTGTCGGCCTCCAGGGGGGCAGCTTCTGGCTCCCAGGGCCACCAAACAACGACCAGAGATGAAAAATGCCCCCAGAAAGGACTCGAGAGCTCCAGGACCCGCGCATTGAAAAGTCGGGGCATCGGAGGTCTGCGGATTGTCGAGCAGGAGAGGGACGAGAACGACAACGACGACGACGACGGCGACGACGACAGTACGACAACAACGAGCACAAGTATGAGGAAGGCGAGGAGAAAGAGGAGAAGGAGGACGACGACGACGACGAGGAGCTGGTGGGTGAGGATGAACAGGGAGAGGACGAGTAGGTTGTCCTACCCCCCAGCCATCCTCCCCTCGCCTCCCCTCCCATGCACCATCCCCTCTGCCCTCTCCGCGACAACCCTTCTCCCCTCTAGGTTTAGGTCGGGCATGTCCTCCTACAGGGGAATTTTGGAACGAAAAATCAAAAATACCCCCCAAAAATGTAACTCTATAGAATAATCAAAAAAACTCCCCTGACTATGTTTTGACTATTTTTGAGCATTCCTCCTGTAGAGGGACAGGCCCGACTTAACTATAGGCAACCACGTGGGCTACAGGTCAGACTGCTGAAAAACCGGCCGGGGCTCAGAACTTGAAGCATGCCTGCAGCCAAGCGAACCCCAGCGGGAGCATCCGATACCCCGACGTCGAGTGGATCCCTGGGCTCGCCAGTGGTCGCAAATCCCTGCCTTCCTCAGGCACCCCTCCCTCGAAAGACCGGCGAGATAGATCGCAGCCGCACGCCGTACAGAGCAGCCCTGCCTTGCCGGCGAGCCCGGGGGCGACATGAGACGGAGAAGGCCCTGTCGGGCGGCTCGGAAGTGACCCCGGCCTTCTGGAAAGTTTCCTGAGCCTCCCTCGAGGCACAGGAAACCCCTCAGAGGGCGCAAGGGCTTCTGAGAGAGGTCCCGGCGCCTTATGAGAAGACCTTCTACTTCTCACATCCCCCGCCCCGCCCGCCGCCGATGTTTCCCAACAATGACGAGCGAACTTCCCAACAATGACGAGCGAACAACACACACACATACCCATACCCCTAGGGGGGTCGGCGGAAGGAGGGCCGGCTATGGGTATGGGTGCGGGTTGTAGGACCGAAGCGCAGGCTCCCTTTTCGAGCGGGGACCCCCATCCGACAACACGCACCCATTGCCTCCTCCGTCCCCCCTATGGGTATGGGTGTGTGCTGTTCGTTCGTCGCAACAAGGTTGGAGTGCCATGTGGGACCTGCTCTAGAGCAGGAACATACCGTATACGCCGTAGACGGATCCACCCTTTCTCCGACATTGCACTGCGACGAGCGCATCGGCCGAGTTGTCTAGAGACGCATCCACCCCGAATGCGCCTTTCGAGGTAACGGCACCCAGTGCGTCCGTAGACGCTTGTGACTAGAACGTGAGAACGATATTTGGCCTAGGTCCGAGAGATTGTTCTAGAAGCAGGTCGACTGGGCCCTCCAACAACAAGGGCTCCCTCCAGCAGGCCGCCCCGCCTGCCACGCTGGCAGCATGCCCAGACAGGCCTGGCGCGGTGCGGGGCGGGAGAGCGTCGTGCCCAGACCCCCTGGCTTCAATAAATATGTATATATACACACATTCATACATACATACATACATACATACATACATACAGACAGACAGACAGACAGACAGACAGGCAGGCATAACAGAACAGAACAAACCATAGCATCACACAGCATAACATGACATTACCTTATACTACCTTACATTACATTACATCACATTGTATTTTATCACTTGTTGTAGACGTAGGCATATACAATTACATGTACAGTACATGTACATATACATATACATGCATGTACAAATTTAGATGTATATCTATACGTAGACATCAGCATATACATATGCTTACATATATACTTGTGCATGTACATAATCATGTATAGATGTATACAAACATACATAAACACAACCACCAACATTTACATATATATATATATATCACAGATATATACAAACACATATGCACATGCATATATGTATATACACATACACATGCATGTACCGATACATTTACATAAACATGTACACATGCATACGCATCTACATATACATATACATCTACATACACCTATGCATAACTAAATGCATATACATATACTCATATAACATATATATATATATACATAAAGGATATACATATACAAATGCGAATGCACATACATGTACACATACACAAACACATACATATACCTATACGTGAACAGTTACCGATATGGATACCTATATAACTACATAAAATACGTACATACATATATACAAATGCGTGAACACATACATATACATATACATACTAGAACCACGCGCGCTTCGCGCATGTGTAGTTTCTAGCGTGTCACAGACACAGGAATCGCTGTGCGAAAAAAAGTTTGGAGTTTGTCTCAGGCAAGTGAGGACTCCAGTTTGAGGGCACCGCCGGGGACGGACTCTGTGTAGAGTGTGGACAGTCGGACCAGCTCTCTGGTCGACACTCTTGGGCGCGCCCTGGGGCTCTCCTGGGCCGTTTTGGAGGGCCCATTGGGGGGCTGTTTCGGAACCTCTTTTGGTGTTTTTTTCGGGTCTCTTGGGGACCTCTTGGGGCTACTCGGGCGCTTCTTGGAGGCTCTTGGGGTCTCCTGGGGGCCTCTTGGGCCAAAACGCTCGAATCTTCGGTTCCTCGTCCCCGTCTTGGGCGCCGACTTGGGGCGTTCTTGGGCGGTTTGGGCGCCTCGGGGGCCGTCTTGGCCCCCTCGAGGGCCGTTTTGGGGCCCTGTTGGGGGCATCCGACTGGCTTGGGTGCCTCTTGGGCCGTCTTGGACGCAGCGGAAGCCCAAAAGGCGAACACGCCAAAAATATCAGTTTTCCGATGGGAAATCGACGATGTCTGCATATTGGGGCTCTATTGGGGTGCCCCTTGGGGCGTGTTCGGGGCCTCTTTTGTTGTTTTTTCTGGTCTCTTGGGGACCTCTTGGGCCAAAACGCTTGAATCTTCGGTTCCTCGTCCCCGTCTTGGGCGCCGACTTGAGGCGCTCTTGGGCGGTTTAGGCATCTCGTGAGCCGTCTTGGCCCCCTCGTGGGCCGTCTTGGAGCCCT